ATTATGATCACAGTAATTAAACCCATCTAAATCACTATTAAAATCTTTACGTGGTGGGAGCTGTGTCTCATTAAATTTTGTTTTATTATTTAACCATTGATATGGAAAAATTCCTTTACGTGTAAGCAATGATAATAAATGAGGTGAGATGAATTTTGACATAACTGGAAAACATTTGGCAAGTTGTTCTGGTGTTTTGTTTTCTCCCTTTTTTTCATCACGTAAATTTTCTGCCATCTTAGCTAAACCGGGTAATGAAAATTTCAAACTATCAATAAATTGAAGTTGACCAACCGAGAAAGTAATATATTGTTCTGAATTATTTGCTATCGGCACTATTTTTTCATCCGTCACTTTTGCTATTTCTTGCATAAGATGATGGAAATCATAACCACTTCCATTACAAATTAGTACGGGGATTTTTATTGTTTCTGGATCGATTCGTAATTTGAGATTGCATTCACTATGTGATGCTCCTCGAAATTTTCCTGTAATATGGTCATGATCTAGTACTCTATTTTTTCCTTCGTCTGGTAATTGTGTTTTACAATACATACATTTTTTACACGCATTATGTACTTTCTTTTGTTCATCATCTAGCTTACCTTGAATTATTGGCTTTTTCCCATGGCATTTCCTATGCGAAGCACCTAAATATTTTTTAGTTTCAGGATCGAATACACGAATTTTATTATACCCAACTTCATGTAATTTTCCATCACAGTTCCAACACTTATTTGCCATTTGATATTTTCGCCATAATTCAGGTGTCATTTTTTCACATGGAAGTGGATCACAGAGCTTATCTAAAATAACATCTAGATCTTCTTGAAGGTTTTCCATTAAGTCTTTTATTATATTTTCCGATTCTCGATTAATTACTGGCTTTTGTGTTGTTCCATCTGAACAATGTATTGTATATCCATATGAAACTGCTTTTTGTTCTGCTATTTTTATAGTATTTCCTTCTTTATCTTTTTCCTCCACTTCGATTTCTTCTGCTTCTAAATCCATATCAATTATATAAGGTTTTATTAGCATGTTTTTGATATACTTTGGTTTTACATAATTCTTACCCTCTTCAGGAAGGATTAATCGTTGTGGTGCTTTACTTGGTCCTGGACATGTTGGAATATGCTTTTCTAATAAATCTAGTCGACTATAAGGAAATCGTAAGCATTTTCGGCAAAAGTATTTTTTTCCATGATGGTTATTCCACTTACGCATTAATCGAGTAAAATCTGTTATAAATACGTAATGCGTTTTTAATCCTTCTGGTATATCATTTGTATTTTTTCGATCATTTAAATTCTCTTCACCTTCTGTTAAATATAATAAATCTATCATATGTTCGACTTGATAATTTCTTTCAGAGATATGTAATGGGTCTATATCTACTTTTATTTTTCCGAACACTTCTTTATACACTGGCCTAAATATATTTATAGCATAGTTTGGGTTATTTTCCTCAAATTTATCAACATCACGTAGTGTTGCTGGAAAATTTATGCCTTCAAAATTAGCTATATTACCATATCGTCTAATCTTGCTTACACGTTCAAGATGTGTAGGTTTTTGTCCTGCTTTTAGTGCATCTTCTCTCGCATGGTGTATATTAACACAATCTCTAAAACATTCATTGTCTTTGAAATTTTGTGGATTAATTAAACCGAGCTGTGGCTTATCTAAATCTTCTGGTAAAGGTAACCAACTACTACCTCGTAATGGTCTGAATGCGCTTATTTCAAGAAATACTTCTTCTGCTCGAACAAATGTCCATCCTGATTCTTGTAATGCTTCATCCTCAATCTGGTCTACAATTTCGTTATACCCTTTTTCTATAGTTGCGTTAATTCGATTTTCTCTAATAATTTCTATAGTTTCATGCTTGAATGGAAAAGTTTTGTATATAGGTTCTGGCGTTTCTGGTTTAATTTTCTTCATATATGCATATAACACGATTCTTACCTTTAATCCACCCTTTAAAGCTAACTCACTTTTGTAAACATTAGCAATCTTTTCTTCGATTGATTCAAAGAAACCTAGTGGTTCGTTTTCTGCATAATATCCTTTTGGCACGAATGCATAGTAATCACATACCTCACCTTCATTAAATTTTCCGGCTTCTGCTATTCTATTAATGTATGGATCCTTAATTTTTTCGAAATGAATATCTGGTTCTTCTTCAGCGGTATCATATTCTGAAGAAGCAGAGCTTCG